TATATATTGTTGATTGGTTCAGTCCTGGCAATTTGAATCTCCTTGTCCTGGTTACAGTCAATTGATGATCTAAGAAGCAGAAAGTACCGCCCAGTTGTGTTTTCCCTGCCCTGGTTCTCCTGGGCATTTGTCAGAGGGAATATTTAAGAACTGGCTTTACCCAGGAGACCCACCAAGTGGTTATACAAACTGCTGCAACCATGCACGTGTTGCGTGTGGAACAAGTGAAATCTGTGCTGTGTTGTAGTGGAAATGCATGTTGGTGAGTTTCACTTTCCAGGTACGGGGTGGGATTGTCCAGTCTTAGGTGCAGGTGTCCCTGGGCTCTGAAAAGCTGTTATCACTTTGCGGAAGACAAAAGCTGTTTGAGAGTGGAATCAATATGCAAAGGCACAGTATTAATAGTCACGTTGCTTGTTTTATTTTAACATTTTACTCAGAGAGAAATGTACATTACAAGCTAAATACTGATACGGCATAATAAGACTTATCTTTAACAAACATTTATTATGCTTTCTAGCATAAACAAACTGTTGGCAAATTAAGCTATAGCTCTGTGTTCAAACTTGTAACTTTTTGTTTAATCAGAACAAGCATGACTTTTTTTTTTTTTTTTTCAATATACTTGGTACAGGGACTCACTACAAAGCTCAGTGATCCGCCTGTTTTCAGCCTCCCCAGCCCTGGGATTATAGGTGTGTGCCGCCGTGCCCAGTCTTGGTGGCCAGCTCAGCTGCCGTGGCATGTGGTACTGGAGAATGAACCCTGGTCCCTGCACTTACCTAGGCAGGTGCTTAGTCCGCTGAGCTATCTCAAAGTCTCCTTGAAGCACAACTTTGACTTAACATATGATTGGCTGTGTAACTTGGGAAAAGTCACTGGGCATCTCTGTGCTTTACCTTCTGATAAGTAGACTGAAAGCAAAGCAACCCACATGTCTCAGTACCCCATGGCTTCAGGAACCAGTTCTTGAAGCAAGGGGCTGATTATTCCAGGAAGAGGGTTATAAGGAAAAAATAGATTTAGAAAAAATTGATAGAGAAAATTACTAATAACTCAAAGAATCAGTACAGAGGTTCACACTGCTGGCTTCCAGAAACTGTTAATAAATGTACAGACACCCTTCCTCGCTCCCACAAGCTACTATATTTGTTTCTTTGTTGAAATAACATACATTGAGCATCTCTTATCTGAGGCAGGTAGTGAGCACATAAACCCTTCTGAGGGAGGCAGACAGGCAGGCAGTTGTAGCACCCTTCGTCTGGCACTCTCATCCAGAAGTGCTCCGGCTGCTGTGATTCTGTAGGCGTGGGGCTGGAGGGACAGCTCCATGCTAGAGCACTTGTCCAGGATGCATGAGACCTTGCATTTTGTCTTCAACAAAGTAGTACAAGAGCAGCTAATTTGGCTGGAGAGTGAGGGTATCAGAAAGGGCCTTCTAAGAATGTTTGTCTCTGAACTGTGCGTACTGATTGTTTTTACCAAATAGTTCAAGTTCTCCTATTTCTTAACACATGGTAGGCTTGTACTTCCTGGCCCCTCATGGTCGGTACAGTGACAGACCAACTTTGGCCAACTTGTGAACTGAAGTTTCAGGTGCCATTTCTACACTGGGGCATTTAGTTGCTTCTGTGTGTTGTCTTTTTGTCTGTCTGCATCAGGAAAGAAACATAAAAGAAGTAGCTGTTCCACTAGCCCTTGTGTCTGAATGACTAGACCTACTCAGAACTACTCAGTTGAGTATCTCCTGCTATCTGCATGCCTAGGTCACATACAACAGAGGTCAGCCAGCTAGGGCATATGAGCCAAGTCTAGCCAGTAGCCTGTTTTTGTATGACCTATGGTTAAGAATGAATTTTTTAATACTTATTTGATATTGTACAAAAAAGAAGAGAAGAGTAGGAAGAGAAAAAAAAAACAGTATATCGCTCACAAAAGCTTGCTGACTTTTGACATAGATCAAGCAAAAGATAAACTGTGGGTCTTTGTTCACTGAGTTTTATTGTTGTGCCCTAACCAAACATTAACCCAACTAATATATTGGGAGGGGGACGGGAAACCCATGCCTTCAAGGCAGTGTGAGGATTCAAGATGGCGCAGAGGTTCAAATGCACGAACAATGGGAAGTAAAGGACTCTGGATGGTTCTAAGGAAGTAAGGTGAAAAAGAATGCAGAAACAGGGTTAGGTGAAACCTAGTAAGTTGCACTAAGGCTTTCAATTTTATTGTATGATGCACGGCTTATGATAAATTTTGTTTAGAGACCACCCCTATTTTAGAAAGATGCCTGGCAGTGGTAAGAAGGGAAACTTACTTGGTGGCAGGATACAATAAGATCAGATGAAGGAAAATAAGGTCCTGGGAGTAGGGGAGTAGGATAAAGTAGGATAAAGTCTCCTTTCCTTGGCAATTCTGATTCAGTGGGTTTAGGGAGTCTGCGTATGCAACCTTATTCTAGTTGATTCTTAGCATTAATCATGATTAAGATACTCTTTGCGGAACTGGGGATTGAACTCTTGCCCTTGTGCTTGCCAGGCAAGTGCTTATTCTACTGAGCCATCTCCCCAGCCCCAAAATACTCTTTTCAAGAATAGCTTCTTCAATGCAGTTTTACTTGCTAAGGAGCTTTACTTTTGTCAAATATGTCCAGTTTCTCTGAAGAGAGTCAGTTAGGGCCCACAGAAAAATGCTGAGGTTAATGCTTGTCTATTCCTTTTTCCTCTAAGGTCATTATATTAATAAGCGTGGTCCTCCGTGTGTGTTTGTTTGTTTTTATTTATTTATTTTTTGTTGGCAGAATCAGGGATTGAACTCAGGCCCTTGCGCTTGCCAGGGAAGTGCTTATTCCACTGAGCCATCTCCCCGGCTCCTAGTGTCATCCTCTGAAGTCATCTTCAAAGCAGTTTGCTAATTTGTAGCTCTGAACTCTACAACCTCAACACCAGAAGAAAGAATTGAGAAGAGCTATCCCCTTCTGAAATATTATAATGCTAACTTCCCAGGCCTCCCTCTCAGCATTTTCTTACTGTGCAATAGCTCAGTGAAACACATACGATTCACCCTTCTCTCTCATGAGCAGAGCCTGGTGGTAAGCAATAGATCACAAATTTCAGCTTTTATCACAATCAAGTGAAAGGCTTGCTTATGTATAGGTTGGAGGGACCCGTACCCATTGTTCTCGATTGAGTGGGGTGGGGGTAAGGCCCAAGAATTTGAATTTGGAACAAATTCCCATGAGATATAGATGCTGTTGATCAGCTTGGTTTTCTACCTTCTAAACCCCTCTGTATCATCTTCTTCCTTCACCTATGTATTGTGTTCCATTCAGGACTTCCACCCATCAGCCTCTGGCCCTGTCTGGCTCATTGATTGGATGCTCAAATCCAATCAATGCTAAGCACATTACTCAAGCTGGTTCCACTCTTGTGAAGCTCAGGGCTTTTGTTTGGAACTTTTAGAAGAGTACTGTCTTCTTTTTTTTTTTTATGAGTAGAATATATTTATTGAGGGAAAGAAAGCTCCTGTGTGAGAGGGGGACAGAAGGGGGACCCGAGCGGGTAGTCCCCAGGGTACTGTCTTCTAACTAATGTGGTTTGTAGGCATAAAGCCAGCACTGCTTTTGCATTTTGCCCCCAATGCAGGAAGTCAATTGGAGATGAAATTCACTCATGGAGAAGAGAGGGCTGAGAGAATCGGAAACAGCACTGAAACTTGTGAGCC